CCAACAGATAGGCACTGTTCATAATGTATACCATGACTGAAATAGCTTCTTATATTAGAGGAATGGAGGATTAGGGTTAGACGATGAATTCGTCGAGTAAATGAAACGTGAGCTGAAAATCTAGGAAGCGCTGGACTTCTGTTTCGACCTGGTTAGGTCTTATCAGCAGTGCGAATCCATCGACGTAACTGGGGATCGAACCTGGGACCTCGCATGTAGAACGTAATCATACTATCCAATCGGCCACCGGGCAGCTAATCAAACCATTCCTCATTTCGATCCCCAGTTGGGTTTTTGGATTCGCAATGCTGATGAGACCCAACCAGGTCGAAACAGCTGTTCAGTGATCCCTAACTTTTCAGCTCACGCCTCATTTACACGACGAATTCTTCATATCATCTAGTATCTGTTATTAGGAAGTGCAAATCATTCACAGTAATATCAACATCTTCATCAAACGAAATAGCCACTTGCCAATCGGCTCAAACACTCACGTCAATTCCCACATCACATGCATTAATAGCTTCATATCTGAAGCCCCTGATCAATAGTGAATATAGAATCAGGTGTTTACTGGATGAAGTTGCAACGCATCCTATTTCGACCACCCACTGGCTCATTGCCCATGGTAATCTGTACATCACGACTGCAAATCAATCAACGGTGAGAAGTCGACCACACAACGATGAGCAAAATAGTCCAATTTCGTGAACATGCGCATAAGCATGTATTTTATATGTTTATGTACATTGAGTTATCAGATGTATGTGCGTGAGTGAGTGAGAACGAGGGAGAGAGCATTATATGTTCAGTTGCTTATACTACACGTGCCATGATGCATTCTGAAAAGTTCTGAAAATTTGTTGGGCACACACGTGTATCATTGACTGATTTGAAGTAGGAAGAAATACGAAAGACAGGTATTGCATCGCTGAAGGTACACCTCTTTTCAAAGTGCTGCTGTGTGTGTACTCCGGCGTGTCGCAGTAGTTGTAGATTATGTAAAGCCAAAAAATCCTCTACAACCGATTCCATCAAGATAGGGTGCTTACTGTACAAAAAAGAGAACGAAAACAGTTCAAGGATAACCGGACGGGGCACACAACGCTGGTCGACCAAGCATAGACAATTGTTGTCCATGTGTACCTGGGATCAGGTTGGGCAGTCCAGCACTGTTCGGATAGTCCGAAAATGTCTGTGAGGTACTCATATGTGGACCGGTACTCATTGGGATCAATGATTGCGACACAACAGAGCCACTGTTAGATCCNTTCATGGATAAAATAGAATTTGGAGGCGAGAGGGAACGTGCATAGTTTAACGGAGGCTTGCCAAAGGTGGGAGTTGAAGGTTGTGTGGACGGGCACAAGGCAGAAAGATTGAGCCCCGGTGATGCGTGATATCGTAAATCCGGTTTTCCCGATCCGTCTCCACGTGTAATGCAACTCAAGGCGGAAGATCCTATGGTAAATGG